TTAGATCCTTTTTCAATCCATACTCTTCGGGTTCTTTTACTTTTAGGCTTTTTCATTGGAAAATGATAATTTTCTCTAGTTTGTACAATAACCTCATCCTTATAATAATTACTTAATTCTTTCTTAGTTTTATCAAGTAAGTGGCTAAGTATGTTAATATCATATTCATATTCTTTACATGATGCACATGCTATTTGTTTATTTCCTTTTTCCTCTAAACATGCAATTTTCGTTTTCAAGGATTCCACTTCTTTTTCTGATTTATTCAAACACTTTTTCAAAGTTTTATATTCAGATTTTAAGTCCTTAAAAGCAGTAAACAACTCTTGATATACATTATGCAAGGCATCATAATCATTTTCATCATCACTTGAAGAACAATCGGAATCACTTACCTCACAATCGGAAGAAATATTATCATTTGCCATCAAGCAAATATTTGCTTCAACTTACGAGTTACTTGAATCTGAACTTGAGTCACTATCATCCCAAGCTATATAGGCTTTCTTTTTGAAGAATTTATTTCCTCTATAATCATCACTTTTCTTGTTGGGACAATCGGATTTTACATGCCCTGTTTCACCACAACCATAACCTTTAAAACTTAAAGAAGAACTTTCTTTTACCTTTCCCTTACCTTTGAAAGGTTGCTTCCCTTTAGCTTTCATGAACTTTGTAAATTTCTTGATCATAAGACTCAAGTTTTCATCTTATTCATTTTCTGAATCTTCTTCCTCCTTCTTGTTCTTGCTTTTAGAAACTTCAGTTTTAAAGGCTAGATTTCTCTTTTGATGTTGGTCTTCTTCATCGTTTAGCCTTTCGAGTTCAAGTTCATGCTCTCTCAACTTTCCAAAGAGAGCCGTCATAGTCATGGTAGCAAGATTTTATGACTCCGTGATGGAAGTCACCTTTGGTTGCCATTTCCTGTCCAAAGACTTAAAATTTTTTACATTTAATTCATCAGTATCAAAAGTCTTACCAAGCCCTATGAGATGATTCACAATATGTGTGAAACGCTTTTGGACGTCAAAAATTGATTCTCCAGTTTGCTTTCTAAACATTTCATATTCTTGTATCAAAGAATTTTTTCGTGCTCTTTTTACATCATCGGTTCCTTCATGAGTTACTCTTAGAGTTTTCCACATGTCTTAAGCACTCTTACAAACGGATATCCTGTAAAACTCATCAAGGGTTAAAGCAGATGAAATTATATTTCTAGCCCTAACATCATATTGGGCTTTCCTATTTTCTTCAACCGTCCATCTAGAAAATGGTTTAGGTTCTTCTACATCATTTACAATAACTTTAGGAATAAAAGGACCATTTACAATTGCATCCCATACACCCCTATCAAGAGACTCCAAAAATATTTGCATTCTAACTTTCCAAAAAGGATAATTTTGCCCTGTAAAAAGTGGGGGTCTATTGATAGAAGCACCCTCGGCAAAAGTTTGGTTTTGTCAGGCCACTTTTGAAATTTGAATGACTATCAAAGCAAGCTCTGATACCACTTGTTAGAATCGCGCAGTGGAATGTTCGTGTTTAGGGACAAAAACCAAGAGGGGGGGTGAATTGGTTTCTTATAAAAATTAGGGTTTTGAAAATTTTCCCAAATTTCACCGATTAAAATGCTTGTAATGTAAAGAGATAAGGGAAAGAAGATTACACAGATGATTTATACTGGTTCGGATCAAAAGACCTTACGTCCAGTTGTTAATCACTCTAAAAGAGGATTAACGTTGTCATTATAATCACAAGTTACAACAAATTACAAATTGAAAAAGATAAGGTATAGAAAACCTCTCTTGAGTCACACAAGAGATGAACACCTCCTTTGAATCCACAAAGGATGAACAACAATTTTTCCTAGAGACAACACAACACACAATCCACCAAGAAACCCACTCAGTGATTTTTATCGCTTCTAACCCACACTAGGTTTTCAAAAGCCCTTTTTTCTTCCTACACAAAGTCCTCTAGTAATCACAACTCTTAACTTTTGTATGAAAAATGATTATTTTTTTGCAGAGAGCCTTAGAGAACCTTAAGTAGAGAGAATAAGGTTTGGGAAATAATGATTTTCGAAAACATAAGAATTGGGAATAGGGTTTTTGTAAATTGGTCCATATTTGAATTTCAAAACTCATAACAGATGTAGATAATTGATTATCTTGAGTGATAATCGATTATTACAGAGCCATTTTCGAAGAGGAGTAAAACAAGACCAGGATAATCGATTATCTATGTAAATAATCGATTATCTAGCTGGGGGATAATCGATTATCCTGAGTGATAATCGATTATCACAACAAGGTTTTCAGAAAAACAATTTTCAGTGTAGGATAATCGATTATTCTAAGTGATAATCGATTATCACAGAGTGGATTTGATAAAAATGAGTTTTCAGATTGTGGACTATCTGCTGGCTATCTTGTACTCTAATTATACAAACTCAAAAACATAAAACATAGTTATCACAAGTAAATACACATGATTCTAAGTCTTCAAGTCTTTAAGTCATTTGTTCTTGAATCATCATCAAAATCTTCAAGCTTCATATCCTTGTATGTTTAACATATCTTGTTTTCTTTTGGTTGCATTAAATATATATATATATATATATATATATATATATATATATATATATATATATATGTTGGGCTTGGGCATTGTGTGAGGATTGAAATTGGTGGATTTACTTTCATGTGTATTTTTTACTCATTCCCCATTTCTCCTCTATTTTCTTTGGACTTTAAGCTACTTATCCATACATTCCATACCTTGTCCTTAGCCCCATTACAACCTTTGAAAGTCCTTTTGATCTTTATGTGCATGTGTTTTTAGTTGTTGATTTTAGAGGCTTGCCAAGTCTATGTGGTGCTTGTGTTTTCATGGGTTCTTTGAGAGTAAATAGTAGCCTAAACACTTGAGTGATACAATACATATCTTGTGAGGTTTTGTTGCTTTTCATTCACCTCTTGAACAGATTGATTTTCTTGATATGTTTTGAATTGTTTGGACGATGTCCATAGATGTCTAGTTTCTATGACTCTTTAAGTGTTGAAGGTTGTTTATTCCTTTCGTTTCACAGGTTTCATTGAGGAGTAGGTAATTCAGTTTATGTTTTTGTTTATCATTGTTTTTGTCTTTGTTTTTGTTTCTATCCTTTGCATGATTTTCTTTAATGTTTTTGGATTTATTTTCTTGCTTTGCTTCTTGACTTTGCCTAGGAGTGCAAAAGGCTATGTGTGGGGTAATTTGATGAGTCATTATATTCCCATATTTTCTTACCCTTCTGTACTTATTTGAATTAGTGTTTTGGGCTTAACTGTCTATTATTAGTGAATTTTTATTAAGTGAGCTTCATTTGGCCAGTAATTTATATTTTAATTAATTTGAATCTATTTGATATAATTTTTGCTCATTATTATTTTCTAAACAATTTAAAACAATTTTGGGCTTGGAAGATTGGGCCAAATGTCATGCTAGTTATCTATTAGGATTAAGGTTTTTGTTTTATTTATCATTTTTTCTACAGAGCTCCTAAAATTATGATTCTAGAAGCATTATAAACTAGATACATTCAACTTTCCATAGGATCCAGAACCATTCAATTTGGAACTAAATTGGATTTTACATAAATTATAAAAAAGGGGTTAAACGCACTAGGCTGACCCAATGGACATGCTTCAGTAATTTAAGTCTCCTAAATTCACTAGACCTCCTAAAATAGTAAAAATGGTGGCGTTTTAAAACTAACTCAAAAAGATTTCAAAGGAGACCAGAATCGTTGAATTTGGATAAGTATTGAAAATACTGGACATGTTTGAAGTTTGTGAAATTGCACTGAAGCCAACTTATGATGTGTTTTGTGTGCTAGTTGGGCCCAAATCTAGAGGAGACAATGTCAATTAGGGTTAGGATTATTTATGTTAGTGATCATTCAGCCACATCACAGAGTCGCATCCTCAGAATGCCAATTTCATCTTCTGCATTTTGTATTCAAGTTTGTTTACTCTTCTGTCATTATTTTAAATTCTTGTTTCGATTTTAATTATATCTCTTCTTTTGCGTTTTTGATTTTTCATGAATAGATAAATCTTTGTATTGATTTTCTGAGGAGAATGCAGTAGATCTTTGAGGTTTTGTTCTTCTATTTCGTTTGTTCTCTTAACTCTTCATCTCCTAATCTCAGTGTTGAATTATAATCTATTTATGCTTAATAAATCGAAACCAATATAACATTTTGCTTAATCATGTGTTAGAGATGGAATTATGTGATATATGCAATGCTTAATTGTATAAGAATAATCTGGGTTAATCTTCGCTTAGTTGGTTAATTTCGGGTTGGAATAAGGGTTAAACAATTTAATTTCGTAACCTAGGATAAGTGACACTGCATTCGAATCAGAAAATCAATTGTTTTCTCATTGTTTTATTTAAATTCTATTTTTGTTAATTTACTATTTATTATTACGCAAACCCCTTTTCTTTTCAAATTTAATTACTGCACTATTTTATTTTAAAGTAATTTTTTATTCTTATAATTTTAATTAAAACCACTTTATTTTAATTTTATAAATTTCAGTTATTTAAATTTTGCATCAATTTAATTCTCTTTTCACTCTTTTATTCATACTTTATTTACTATTTTAGAGAAAATGATATATGGTAATGAGTACATTCCTATAATTGTGTCCCTGTGAAATTCGACACGGGTTAACTATACTGCACTAGTTTAGCAACTTGTTTATTATTTTTTATCAATATTTTGTGCGAACGAAATGTTGTTATCAAGTATAAAATTAGATTTCTGTCTCTTTTCATAATAGGTATTTCATACACTAATAAATATTTGATACACAGGATTAGGTAAAGTTTCATGTAATTCAGTATAAAGAATAAAAATTCCAGTATTGCTAAATGGATTCATGTGATTTGATGAAGCATGACAGCAAATCGTGGAATATTTTTCGATAAAATTCACGGGGAAATTGAAAATGCTTGGGAGTGGAAATGAAAAAATGTCTACACTACCTGGATTGAATCAGATACAATTTGAAGGGTTTTGTAGGTTCATTGATCGGCGCTTAACAGAAGGGCTTTTTAAGTTTCCAAAAATTGAGGATACAGATCAAGAAATTGAATTTCAATTATTTGTAGAAACATATCAATTATTAGAACCCTTGATAAACGAAAAAGATGCTGTATATGAATCACTTACATATTCTGCTGAATTATATGTATCCGCGGGATTAATTTGGAAAAGTAGTAGAGGCATACAAAAACAAACCATTTTTGTTGGAAACATTCCTCTAATGAATTCTCTGGGAACTTCTATAGTAAATGGAATATACAGAATTGTAATCAATCAAATATTGCAAAGTCCTGGTATCTATTACTGTTCAGAATTGGACCCTAACGGAATTTCGGTCTATACTGGCACCATAATATCAGACTGGGGGGGTAGATTAGAATTAGAGATTGATAGAAAAGCAAGGATATGGGCTCGTGTGAGTAGGAAACAGAAAATATCTATTCTAGTTCTATCATCAGCTATGGGTTCGAATTTAAGCGAAATTCTAGAAAATGTATGTTATCCTGAAATTTTCGTGTCTTTCCTAAATGATAAGGATAAAAAAAAAATTGGGTCAAAAGAAAATGCCATTTTGGAGTTTTATCGACAATTTGCTTGTGTTGGCGGAGATCCAGTATTTTCTGAATCTTTATGGAAAGAATTACAAAAAAAATTTTTTCAACAAAGATGTGAATTAGGAAGAATTGGTCGACGAAATATGAACCAAAAGCTTAATCTTGATATACCCCAGAACATTACATTTTTGTTACCACGAGATATATTGACAGCTGCGGGTCATTTAATTGGTATGAAATTTGGAATGGCTCTATTTGACGATATAAATCATTTGAAAAATAAACGTATTCGTTCCGTAGCAGATCTATTACAAGATCAATTTGGATTGGCCCTGGTTCGTTTAGAAAATATGGTTAGAGGAACTATATGTGGAGCAATTAGACATAAATTATATTTTATCAAGAGTCAATTACAATTTAATTATAATACATATCGATTTATTTAAAATAAAAATTAATTATAAAATATGAAATTATTTTTAAAGATTTTATTTTAAATTAATTAAATTAAATCTTCTTTTAATAGTGTAAAAATATTAAATTAATCATTCTAATTAAAAGTCCAAACTTTAAATTTATTGTTTATTTTATAATTATTTAAGATCATTTTTTTACTTTCAAAAAAAATATATATATATATATATTAAATACTTTTTAAAAAAATTTATAAAATAAACATTATTTGAGTTTGGTTTTATTTGTTATCACTCTATAATTTAAAATTACTCCTTTCAGTTTATGTAATGTGATGATTTTAGATTTGGTTTTTTTAGATAGTTCACATGCCAAAAAAGTTTACACTTAACAATTGTTTTCCTATACCTACTTGTTTTGAGTTAAACTATATTGGAAGTTATGATGAAAAAGTATTTTAATTAAATCCATACTATGTAACATATATCAATCAACCACAGAATATCAAACAAGTGTAACTTGTGTATATATAATTTATTGAGAAACTTGAATGGAGTTTGAAAATGAGATGTGATGAAAAGGATTGCTAAGATGAGAAATGACCACCGCTTTGATTGTAGATGAGCAGGGGTAGCCTACACAACATGGGTGATTCTCTTTCCTTTCTCCACGTGGAACAAAAGATTCTTTCCACCCATTTTTTATGAAATTTGGTACAGTTCCCACCACCTATTGTATGGTCCTATAATTCAATTCCCAACTTAATTAGGTCTTTTAAATTATTGTATTTTAACCTCATTTCTCTTCTCTCTTTACAATGATAAACAACGAAGATATTTATCCATTATCCGGTTGAATCAGTTCAGTCGGAACTGTATGAAAATTAATTTATTACTTTTAAATAATTAAATTTTAAGTATATCATTATAAAATAAAAAAATCAATACAAAATTTAAAAAATTAAAAATATTGAACTAAATCAATTTTATTTAAAGATATAATATTTTATTTATTTATATTTATTCTATAATATTTATGAGTCTTACATTATTGTAAGAGTTGAAAGTTTATATATATATATATATATATATATATATATATATATATATATATATTTTCTCTCTCTCAATTTATTGAAATATTTTTTAATTGAAACTAAAATTTTAAAGTGGACAATATTTTAAATGTGATATCTAATTCAATGATTCTACACATTGGGGTCTATGTGACGTGAGGTTGAAAGTATAGTCTCATTTTAGTCATATTTATTAGTTTTTGATTAATTATATTTTAATATGTTCATGAATCTCATGTCAAAAGTTAAGGTTAATGATAAGATAATTTATATATATCTTTCTTTTTAATTTACCGAGATATATTTTGAAGACAAAATCGTGAAAGAGTAAAATTTTAACTATATATAATATTTATTTTAGTTTTTTTATTATTAATTTTTTATTTTTAATATATTTAATATTTATGTAATCTTAATTATAATTTATATTATGAAAATAATTTTTTTATTATTATATTTATTATTTATAAATATCATTATTATTAATAAATTTATTATATAAAAATAATTATTTTATTAAATATAGGTCAAAAACTTTAAAGTATGAACTGGTATTTTACCAATTTAACCACCTGTAACAATTTTAAAAACTTTTCATACCTACCAACCATGTGTCAAATTCCAAATCCTAAAAAAACGAAATTAAAGAGATGATTAAAATTATTTTTTTCTAGATAAAAAATATTCTAGAAATATTTATATATTTTTTTTCTTGAAATCAAAGAGTAATATATTATTTGTAACTATTATCATATTAAATAATTTAATAAAAACGTCATTTACTTCTTTTATATATATATATATATATATATATATATATATATATATATATATATATATTAACTTTGGAAATGTTGGATTCCTAGACAAATAACATTTAAAGGGGTGAATAGATGCACAAATTAAAATAGATGTCAAATTAAAAAATTATTTTAAGATGTCTAATATTTATTAATTCAATTTTAATTATCAAATAGAACAAAGATAAAACGGAAGCAATATAATCAGAGAGATAAAATATCAACAAGATAGAAAAAGATAGAGATACAAATAAGGGGTGTAAGGAGGGTAATGCAGTGAAAAAGAGATAAGAGAAAGAGAAGAGCACATAATGGTTTATACTGGTTCGCGTATAACCAACCCTACATCCAGTTCCCAGTCAACTCTTAACACAAGAGTGACCCCAATTCACTATCTTTCAAATTCAGTTTACAAATTACAATCAACTTAGCAAAAAAACAAACTAATTCAAAAGACAATCACCTCCTTAGAAACCCATTAAGGATGAACACCTCCCTAGAATTCCACTAGGGATGAACATCTCCTCTGAACAAATCAAAGGATGAAAGCACCTCCTTAGAATCCCACTAAAGATGAACACCTTTCTAGAATTACACTAGGAATGAAAATTACCTCTTTTGCCACCAATACACAAAGGATTAACACCTCCCTAGAATCACACTAGGGATGAACACCTCCTCTGAATAAATCAAAAGATGAATAACACAATTTATTAACTTAAACCTCTTAAACCCACAAAGGATGAAAGAGTAAGATAAGAATAGTCATCCACAAATGATGAAGGTAATAAAAATAAGAACAGTCACACCTAGGTAATAGAGACAACAAATTGTAGAAGTCTATAGAATGATAACCTCCAAGAACACAATGTGATTAACAATGAAAGCGCAGAAGGCAGTATAGAAAAGTTTTCTTAGAAAACCTAAAAGTGCTTTGTTGCCTTGCTCAGAATTCTTTTCTCAAAACTGATTAAATATAAATTGTATTTTCTGTTGAACATACAAGGATATGAAGCTTATAGATTTTGATGATGATTCAAGAACAAAGGGCTTAGAGAGTTGAAGACTTGTAATCTTATGTAATAACTCTGTTTTTATGTTTTTGAGTCTGTAATATTAGAGTCCAAGATAGCCAGCACATAGGCCATCCTTTAAAAGCTCTAAAAACTCATTTTTATCAAAATTACACTCTGATAATCGATTATTACCCTGGATAATCGATTATTATAGCAAGAAAATCATTTTCAGGAAATTCTCTTTGTGATAATCGATTATCACTCAGGATAATCGATTATCATAGGTTGATAATCGATTATTTGGCCAGATAATCGATTATCCTGGTCCAGTTTTGTTCCCCTGCGAAAATGGCTCTGGAATAATCGATTATCACTCAAGATAATCGATTATTTGCGTCTGTTATGTGTTTTGAAATTCAAATTTGGACCAAGTTTCGAAAACCCTATTCCCAATTCTTCTATTTTCAAAAATCCCCGATTTCTAGACCCTATTCTCTCTACTTAAGGTTCTCTAAGGCTCTCTACAAAGAAACAAACATTTTTCATACAAAAGTTAAGAGTTGTGACTGCTAGAGAACTTTTGTAGGGAAGAAAAAGGGGTTTTTGAAACCTAGTGTGGGCTAGAAGCGATAAGAATCACTGAGTGGGTTTCTTGGTGGATTGTGTGTTGTGCCGTCTCTAGGAAAAGTTGTTCTTCATCCTTTGTGGATTCAAAGGAGGTGTTCATCTCTTGTGTGACTCAAGAGAGGTGTTTTCTTTACGTTATCTTTTCAATTTGTAATCTATTTGTAAACTGTGATTATAGTGACAACGTTAATCCTCTTTTTGAGTGATTAGCAACTAGACGTAGGGTCTTTTGATTCGAACTAGTATAAATCAACTGTGTAATCCTCTTTCCCTTATCTATTTACTTTACACAGCATTTTAATCGGTGAAATTTGGGAAAAATTTTAGAATCCTAATTTTTGTTTAAGAAACCAATTCACCCCCCCTCTTGGTTTTTTTTCGTAAACGCAAACATTCCGCTGCGCGATTCTAACAAGTGGTATCAGAGCTTGCTTTGATAGTCATTCAAATTTTGAAAATGGCCGGACAAAATCAAACATTTGCCGAGGGTGCTTCTATCAATAGACCCCCACTTTTTGCGGGGCAAAATTATCCTTTTTGGAAAGTAAGAATGCAAATATTTTTGGAGTCTGTTGATAGAGGTGTTTGGGATGCAATTTTAAACGGTCCTTTTATTCCTAAAATTACTTAAAATGGAGAAGAGGTACCAAAACCATTTTCTAGATGGTCGGCTGAAGAAAATAGAAAAGCTCAATATGATGTTAGGGCTAGAAATATAATTTCATCTGCTTTAACCCTTGATGAGCTTTACAGAATATTCGTTTTATAGAATATTCGTTTTCTAAGAGTAAGAACAAGAAGGAGGAAGAAGACTCGGAAAATGAAGATGATGAAAATTTGAGTCTCATGATAAAGAAATTTACAAAGTTCATGAAAGCCAAAGGGAAGCAACCCTTCAAAGGGAAGCAACCCTTCAAAGGGAAGAAATTTACAAAGTTATGTATTGAATAGGATGCTTATTAGGCCAATTATAAAATCAACTCCTTATGAACTGTTAGATGGTAGAAAGCCTAATGTTGCTCATTTAAAAATATTTGGATGTAAATGCTTTGTTTTAAATAATGGAAAAGATAACTTAGGAAAATTTGACTCAAAAGCCGATGAGGTCATTTTCTTAGGTTATTCACTAACTAGCAAAGCATATAGAGTTTTCAATAGAAGAACTTTGAATATTGAAGAATCTGTACATGTCACCTTTGATGAAATTGTAGACCTTGAGGGAAATCCTCTTGAGTCAAATAAAGAAAATGCAGGTGATGATGAGTACATAAGAGAAGCTCTAGAAGAAATGTACTTAAATGAGAATGAGTCATCTTAACCAACTGAATTGGCAAAAGAGTGGCAACCACCAAGAGGACTTTCAATGGACAACATAATTGGTGATATCTCAAAAGCGGTAAGAACTAGAAATAGACAAATTTCTGTATGTCTGTAGCTTTTATTTCACAGATAGAACCCAAAAGTGTTGAGGAAGCTCTTAAAGATGACCAATGGTGCATAGCAATGCAAGAATAACTTAATCAATTTGAAAGAAATCAAGTCTGGGAATTAATTCCAAGAGAAGAATCTCATCAAGTGATTGGAACAAAATGGGTATTTAGAAAAAAACTTGATGAAGAAGGAAATATAACAAAGAACAAAGCCAAACTTGTTGCCAAAGGTTACTGTCAAGAGGAAAGTATTGATTATGATGAAACTTATGCTCCTGTTGCCAGGTTAGAGGCTATACACCTACTTCTTGCTTATGCTTCATTGATGAATGTCGCCGCCGTCCCTTTCCGACGTCCGGGAGACATCTCGAAACGTTTATGCAAGCGGTCGCGAAAAGATGGTTTAGACTCGCGTTTTTGTTTTAAAAGGTTTTCGAAAAGGGGTTCTTATGGAGTCGCCACCAATGTTTTGACCATAAACATTGGAAAAGAAAAAAATGTTGATTTTAAGAAAAACCGCACTTGGCCATTATAACCAGAGTTGGGTAAGGGAGTTAGTTACGTGTGGGGAAGGTGTTAGCACCCCACAACGCCCCTTTCGGGTTCCCTATGACAGATTAATTCTTTTAAGTAAAGACTACGAGAAATTACGCGATTACCCTATTTTATTACATAATATTAAATGGCGATCTACATGATTTTATTCTATGTTGCATGCATAAAATGATGAATAAAGCTAAATAAAGCAATAAAAGAGAT